CATGTTTTTCAGAAATGCAGTTGTGAAATTCTGATTTGTTGAAACATTCCACAAACCTCTGTTTGACCTCAGCAAGGCCGGGGAGAAAGGGGAACAGTTGAATGAGTGGTAGATGATTTTGATTCACCTATTTTCCTTTTTTGTTTCAAAAGATAGTTTCTTTCCCCTTTAGTCATGCTGTCTATAAAACTGTGAATGTTTCTTCTTTCTTATAATGTGAGAGTTAGAGAGTCATTCTGAATAAAGCTTTATGCAGACCAGACTTCCCCACTAAATCAGAGCTGTCTTACTTGTCAAGCTCTGATGTTTCATTTGGCTTTTATTTACTTGGAATTTGTACCTTTTTGTTTAAGGGCAGGCTTGCCAAAGCAGAGAACCCAAGTCATCCCTGCCAATCAGGTGGCTTCTTCCCTTTCAGCAAATCGTTCTTGTTCAGCCAGATCTGCGCTTCCAATCTATAAGAACTACTTGTATAATTCACAATACTGAGGTAGAAAAACTTTACCTATTCAGTTGTCCATTTTCAGCACTGATTTATATTAATGATGTAAGTGTTAAGATGATCTGTGTAGCATAGGACACATATCTTCCTGCCCAAACCCTCAGATTAGCACAGCCACCTCAAAATTCAGGTCCTGATGTACAAGAAGATATGAGTTTTAGTCATATGTCCTCCCTCAGATTAGCTTAATACAGTTCAAAAGCTTGTTTAGTACCTGTTAAAATGCAGGCTAAAGTAGTCAAAAAGCTGTTACCTGGGTACATGGTGGTTTCGGCAATAAATGCCAAAAATATTTCCAAAGCCTTTTTCCTGTGAGTGTGTAAATCTACTGAAGGAAATTTGTAGCATCTGTCTCAGATGTGAGAAGTGCATCTGTAATTTTCACCCATTCCCCTTCCTCAGTCTCCTCTCTGAGTATTCTGCATGTGTCTTTCCAGTTTGCGTGAATGATGCCCCTATTCCCTTAAAGCCTTTGGTGGTGATTTTGGTCAACCACATCAACTACAAAGGACTCAATTGGCCAATTGTGATAAGAGTTTCTGAACTTGACAACAGTCAGTCATTAACTCAGAAATTCTCAGAGCAGTGAAAGCTTTTTATAGTTTTGTTTCCCTTTCCCTGATCCCACTGACTTTCTACCTTTATGTGAAATATTAAATTTTAACTTGAGGGGGAAGCGAGCTGCAGGCATAACAATTTTCCTTGCTAACGTTATGAAAACTTCAAGGACAAGAGCTGAAGGATCAGACCAAAACACCATCATAATTACTCATACATTAGAAAGACCTGTACTCTATTTTTACTACTTCCAAAATACTGCAGTATAGTATCAGCTCGACAGACCTACACACCAAGATACTTGCATGCCAGCGACAGGACACTATATAACACTCTTGTGGTTTAAATAAAAATACCAGTTGAAAACCGTAGTTCCAACTTTAACAGATTTGAAGGGTTGTTATAGTTCTGAGATGTATTAATGAATGTTGAACAAGTTGCTACTCACCTATGTTTGCAAAATTATGATTTTATTATTAATCACATATAACAGCATTTAACTGTTTTCCAGCTTATTTGAATGACATGTTCTCCTTCACTGTTAATTAGGTGCAAGCTCCGAGATCTAAAAAATAAGATTGTAATACTTTGGTACATTTCCTCTAAAATGCCTTTCATGTGATTTATTAGCTACACAGTTGTTTCAAGCAGAAGCATAAAATAGTTGTAACTTTCGTTAGAATTTTAGGTCTCTGAATGCCTTTTCTTCGTGAGCTAAATTGTCTAGGACTTGAAAATTAATTTATCTATCTGTTATCTGAGAATCTATCTATTCAAATTACATATATAAAAAAAGAAATATTGCTGTTCAGAAAAAAAGGATCTTGTTTGTCACATTCACAGCATTTGAGGTCTAGTCTAGTGATAAGATTAGTAGCAGCTTTCACAGTTAACAGTGGAAAAAAAAAAAAGGCCCAAAGTCTAGTTTCAAACTGAAGCTTGAACAGTTCTTGCTTTTAGTTCTTACACTATTAAATTTAAAAGGATATAATGCATTCTGGATACAGTTAGATGATTATAAAGCTTTTTTATGTCAGTATGGCTGACACCTGTAAAATAATATTTATCACTGTTATGACAGTAACAATGGTTTAGAACAGTTTCTATTGGAAAAACACATAATCAAAAGAGTTGAAACAGGATAAAAGTTGTGCACTGATGGCATCAAAGTTTTCTCTAATGGGGAATGGCTCATGTCAGATTTTGCAGATGCCACAATACAATTATACTATAAAAGAAAATTATGGAGAAAAATGTGTAGAATTTCCAAGTGAGTGGAAATACCCCAATGTGCTTATGTCCTTTTTTTCTCCAGAACTATATTATTATTAATATTTTTAAAAGCAGTTTCTGTTACCACACTGTAAGGTTTAGAAACCACATCCATTTCTATTCAGGATGTGGAAGACAGTATAATTATCTATAAAGTAAATTTAAAAAAAAAAGTATAATTACTTTCCTTTACAAATGAGACTCAGCCTGAGGTGAACGGGATTTAAGACTCTCCCCTAACTTCCATGTTTTCTGTTTGCTAATTTAGGTGATTGCCTCAACATGTTGATTGTTGGCCATAAAAAGAGTAGGCTGCAGTGAAAATGCAAAATGGGGCTAAATATGCTTGGTTTTGTCTTTATCTCTCTCTGAAGGTGGGTTTTGAGCCACCAAGGGCAACCAGAAAAGTTGCTTCAGAAGGGAATGGGGTCTTGCAGTCATGTAGCTGTTGCTGTTTGTAGGTGTTTAATGCTCCTTGTGCCTCAGAGGAGATGTAAAGATATGTTAGTGCCACAGACTCAGCTGTGGCAGGAGTGCAAGCGTTGCCTCTCTGGATCCAGGCTCAAGCATTGCATATCACAGGCAGAAAGCAGTTATCTGTGATTGTATCTGGGAAGTTTGCTGTGTCTGTCAACTTTCTGATGCCCTTATCCCTGTAGCAGTGTGGTGAGTGTCTCTAAGCTGAAGCGAAGAGGGCAGCTTTGAATAGATTTTGATGAGGACCAAGGAGGGATAAGGTAGCTCATCTACTGAGCTGTCCCTCTGCATCTGGCAGCTGATTGCTTGATAAAACACAGAGCATGGTGGCAATTTGTTGAAGACAAGTATTCTAAGGCTTTTAAGAAATACAAGGAAACAGGTTTCAAAAAGCCCCCAATTAAAAGAAAAGAAGTCTGATTACTTGGCATCTGAGGACAGTTATGGCCTGAAATTGCTTATTTTGCATCTCTATTAAATTCTGATTTCTCTAGGTGACAAAGCACCTTCAGCTCACATTTATTTCAGCATGGTTGAGAGTGATCAAATAGCATGGGAAATAAGTTTATTAGATTTGGGGGAACTAGATAGAAAAATGGAATCACACATAGCCTAAAGCATATTAGAGACTGCGTCTGTACTGTAACACTTTCTGATCTGTCAAGAGCAACGTCTGCCAGATTCTCCTATATCCATGACTCCTGTATCTGTTCATGTTATGACGCAGGAAGATCCTGCTTCTTATTTAAACCTCTGATAGGTAATTTTCTGTTATTCCATCTCTTCTGTACCTAGACAACATAAGCAATTTTTAGTAAGGACCTTGGAAATGTTGCCTTCCTTCGCTCAGAACCTTCTGCCAAGCAGAGGCAATGGAGATATTTCTACAAATAATTCACTTATCAGTCTATCCTTTCAGTATTTTTCTTTTACTTTGGTACTTCTCTTTAGAGTTCATTTGGAACCTCACAGTTCTGATTTTTGAACGAGATCACATTCTTCTTGGCACTTCAAAAACACAGACCAACCCTCTACTTCTTCTTTTAGACCCAAAGACAATATGAAACACATATCTGATTTTTAGTACAAAGTATGTAAAATTGTTCTATCCCCTCTTGATGGTGTTAACTGAAATAAATTAACAAAAAATACTTTGATTGGCTTTTGGATTGGGTAACCTGGAACCTACAGAAGGATGTATGTTTTTGTCTTGGTGATAGTTTTACTAACATGAAAATGTTGTGAATGAGCATGAATAAAGTGCAAAAGGAATATGTCAAACACAGTGTCTGACTTCTCACCCTTTGCACAGGATATAGTGGGTGTATGCAGACTTCACATGTCATTTGCATATATCATGGTTTCAAACTGAAATACTATAGATTTACATGTTAGGAAGAAATTCTTTACTGTAAGGATGGTGAGATACAGAAACGTGCTGCCCAGAGAAGTTGTGGATGGCCCCTCCCTGAAAGTGTTCAAGGCCATGTTGGATGGGGCTTTGAGCAATATGACCTGGTGGAATGTGACCCTGACCATGGTAGGAGGGTTGGAACTAAGATGATCTTTAAGGTCCAGTCCAACCCAAAACATTCCATGATTCTATGACCACTTATACAATGAGGCAGCTTTATTTTTGCACTGGAACAGATATTTATGGGACTTTCATGCCTCTCATAATGTTTATTCATCGATCATCATAGCTTCAAAGTTCTTTTCAAAATACAATCAGTAGCAAAAGCCAGTCTGTACCAGTGTTTCTCTGCTTTTTCAACTTTTGTTTAGCTAGATGATTAACTGGGGTTTTTTTCCTATACTTTTTTTTTTTTTTTTTTTAAAGTGACACCTATGAGTAGGCAAGTCTCAAAGTTACAAAAATTACAGGGAAAACTTTTCCCAGACATAAAATAAGCAGGAAAACAAAACACACGGGAAGCTTCAAAAGTCTAAAAAACTTAGTCCAAATTCTTGAATTTTGTAGAAGTGTCATATGCTATCCTTTTAAACTCTTCTGTTGTTGTTGAAATTTTATCAGAGATATAAATGGTTATTATATGGAGTTGTAAAACATTTATTAAAAAATTACTATTCTTAGGATTTCAATTGTGATTAGTAAACAGAAGTCCCAGTTACCTATTAGCTTTTTTATTTTTGCCTTTTTTTTTTTTTTTTTTTTTTCCTGGTGAAACAGGTGTGTTTTATGAAGTTGTTCAGAGCTTCCCAGGAATGGAGGAAAATGTGCAAGTGGATTCACATGTAAGCAGCCACAGGTGGAGAAGGCATTCAGTGTCTCTCAAATCAATTGACACCAACAGAGCCAGCATGGGGCAGGATTCTTCTGAGCCAGGAGGTTTCACAGACCTGCTGCTTGAAGAGAGACATGATAATACCACCCAGATTGAGGTAGGAATTAATTCTTTTCTTTTTTTTTTTTTTTTTTATTCAATATGTTATCTTTGCTTGAGAGTAAGTAAAAAATGAAGATATTTATTTTCAGTATGTTCAAACATTGATAGGGGAGGGGAGCTTCATGGTCTTCATATTTGTGACCCTGTCAGCACATAGAAGATAGCTTTTTCCCCTGTCCTAAGGCTGGAGGGGATCTGACTTTTGAAAATTGTTTCTTGAGGGTGTCTGTCTCTGCTAGAAAAAAGTTATGGGTAGTTCCATGTTGTAGCCGTTCTTGTGTGAGAAATGGAAAAGGAAGTAGTATTAAAGTAAGATTTAATTCTTTCTTACAAGTTGGGGTAAGCGCCTCTACTTGTGATCTTTTGGTCTTTATGGGATTTTGGTCTCTATGGGATTTTTTCAGTCTTCTGGTCTTTATGGAGAGTGATATCCAGACAGGAAGGAGAAAACGCTGTAGAGAAATGGGGGAAAAAAAAATACAGGTTAATAATTGCAACAGTTTGCCCATTGATCTTCCGAAGAGGAATAACTTGTATCAAATCCATCTACATGAAGACTGGGACATTCTTCCTCTCTTTCATTTAATTTCTTATCTCTTGTTTAAAATACTTTAACTGTCAGATTGCCCTCGTATGGACATAACGTATATCCAAGTGAGCAGTAGTTCTGTATTTAAAGCTGTTCTTAGTTTTGAGCAGCGTAGAGAGAACAAACACTGACCATAATGTTATGTTGTGACTTACTGGTGAAAAGTGTCTACACCTATGATAATCTGTGGGAATTCTACTAGTCTGATGTTTTATCTTAGTGGTTCGACATAAGCACACTGGCTGAATTGATTTTTGTCTTTATACACAGATAGCAAGTGTTAATATCATAATTATGATATGTTTACTGTTTGCTTGGTTTGTTTGTTTTTCAAGCACTGGGTGTAGGGTTTTCTTATTAATAAAATCTACATCTTATTTTTTAATAAAATACATTTTGGAAATAAGCTGCACTTAACATTTTCAGTCTTTGTGTTCTGCTTCCAAAGCAATGGTGTTGCTTATTTTTCAGTTGTGGGGAGCTTGCTCTCAGACAAAGAAAAAAGGTTTCAGATTTTTGATTGTTATCTTACACAATAACAAAGGTAAAGCACTAGAAGATCCATCTATAGAGACAATGATGTCTTTACAGCATGAGTCAAAAAATAATCATGCTTTCTGAGAGGTGTATTTTGTGTGTGTTTTTTGAAGCTTCTCAGTTTGCAAAGCACTAATTATGTTTCCTCTTGCTTAAACATGGGAGTTGCTAGTTGGTAAATCATGGTTTCAAAATGCCTGTTGATTTTATTTGTTTTTTGCCTCATGTAATCCCCATCTGGCCATATTTGTAGTAATTTTCTTGGGCATGGCACAGGTCAATCCTGCCTCTACTTACTTTAAAAGGTAAAGCAGAGGATTTCTCAGGTACAGGAAAATTCACAAAGCTCATCTTTCCATCACCTACGCATAGATCCCCATTCAGTTGAGTTCCAAGCTATTGTGAAGCAGAATAGGTCAGAGCTTCCCTTCTAACACTCATATGCGGCAACATTCATGAAAAATTGAGCACTTGCAAATGAACAGATGTAGAATGGTACATTCTGTTGCAGCCCTGTCTTTTGCTAAGGTCTTCCAGCACAATAAGATAGCCAAGTTGTGGTTTCACACATTATTGGATTCTGTTGTAAATCCCTACTGCAACACAAAGGCATTTTACAGAAAAACCTTGATGCCTGGCTTCATAGAGGAGGTAAAGTGCACAACAAATATTCACAGTGGAAGAATCCATACGTCACAAAGTCCTCTGTAGCATGGGAGCTTATCAGTAATGCTGGAGACCATATTGATTTTTTTTTTTTTTTTTAAATTCTTCTTCTGTGTGCATTGCTGTTCTTGCTGAACAAAATCTGTAGAATGCCACTTATTTAACGACACAACAGAATTACAGCATCCCTTCATTACAGATACTGTCTGAAGTGTTTTGTAGGTGCAAATGTGGCAGACCTCTTCTACAGCAAGGCCGGCAATGATGAATATATCTTTAATTTTCACTTAATGTAATTTTCTGTTCTTCTTTATAATGATGAGTTTACTTTCTATCCAGCTTTAAAAACAAAGAAATAAACCCCACACAAAGCAAAACACACCTCTACCCCTTAAAAATGCAAAACCAGTTTATCATATCTTTTAGTAGCCAGGGTGGACTCACTCCTACATGTAGGAAAGCGATTGTGTCCAGATTGTCTTAAGAGACTCTGTCTCTGGTCCAAGAGCTGGAGCAGTGCAGCCATTAGGAACCCCAGAACATTTGTTGTCTCTCTTCACATCTCTGTTTTGTCTCCTGTATTTGTTTGGCACTGCAATTCAGGACAGAAGTCATGCAAAATAATGTACATATTCAGGATCTTTTTTTGAATAAAGATGTTCTCTTGAACTGGACTCTCTAGAAGCTGAACTGCATTGCAGAAACTAATAGAAGCAGTGGTTATAGCCAATTGATGTGCAGGACCTTCAGAAATGGGCAAGGCCTTGGAAAGGAGAAGACGACCTCTAAGTCTCATTGTGGAGTATAGGAATTTTATAGTCCACAGGTGCAGTGTTGTGGCAGCACAAACCCAAGAAACTCGATATGCTAAAAGAAAGGTGAAGGACAGAAAGAACAGGTTTATGCTACAAGCCAGATTTTTTAGGCATGTAGAATTTGTGGTCTTTTTGGAGAGAGGGAGTAGCGAGCACAGAAAATTGTGGCTATTTCTGTGCAAAACAATTTTTTTTTTTTTGTCATAGTCAAGTGATTCACTTATTCCTGTGGATGTCACAGATATCTCCTGATGCATATTGATTTTAACTAGAATAGAGTTGTTGCTAACTGAAGACACCCTTATTTATTTTTCTTTCCTTTTTCTAGTTTCTGTAGATGTTGTTTTAAATGTGAATTTTTGTGATCCCTGTAGTTTTTAGACCTAAAAAGTGTCTTCCTCCTATCAGAACAACAGTGGTGGATTCCTGGTAACAACCTTTAGCTGAATTTTGCATTTGATCCCAGAGTTTCTGCCCAGAAGAAAGCTTCTCCTGTATCAGCCACAGTCACTCATGGAAGTAAAGATGTCTAATTCTGACTGGTAAAATCAACAGAAGGAGTTGAATTTTAAAGCCCTTGGATTTGAGAGCAATTATTCTCAGCTACTGACAGCAATGTCACCATGTCCACTGTTGTGTTCTTCCTGCAGGCCTGTGCAAGGGAAAAAAAATAATGGTTAAGATTAAATTTCAGCTGGACAAATGGTAAGTGCTCTAATGCACTGTATTTAAAAGAAGAAAAATTTGTCCATGCATAACTGAAGCCTCCAAACTAAATAATATCATAGTTGCATAGTGAGCTGTCAGTTTGGCCAAGCCTGCCTCTATTTTGTTCCTTTTTACATTTTGCTTTGTTGGATTTTTTTTTTTCACCCTCCCCCACACCCATCCCAATGCTTTAATGCCAGCTGCATCTGAAGGACTTAGAAATAAAAAGCAGTGTTACTAACACCGTATTCTGAAATCACAGTCCCTCTAAGTTACTGAGAAGGATGTTCTGCTTTTAAGAAAACATCCTTATTATCATATAGTTGAATTTCTGTTCTCTTTCCTCATTCCAAGCTAGGAGACACTTTACTTTTAAAGTCTGTTTTCGGACTTGCCATCTCTGAGAGCCTTTAATTACCAATTTGGTAATGCCTGTTTAGCTTTTGAATTTATAGTTCATATATTTTTCCTAAATAATGCTTGTATCTTCCTTTATCTTTCTGTGATACTCCAAAGTGCAAGAGTGAATTAGATGGACAACACTTTGATAGATTCATTTGGTGTAATAAAATTGGGGATGCTATTGATCTCTGCATCAGGACAGAATTTTTTTTTTAAAGCATGGTCCCATTTTAATGTGGATTATAAAGTATCAAAGTAATGCATGCTCAATACAAAGGTTTAACCAAATTTTAGGCTTCTAACTTTTATTTTAGTTAAAGCATTTGATACATAAGTGAGAAGGAATGAAGATTTGCAGGACAAAGATTTGTCACCAGAGTTGGCTGATTCTTTTGGAGAGTGAAAGAGCAGTACTTCTGTTCTGAAATCAGTATTTGCAAAAAACTGGGGGGAAGGAACAAAAATCTAAATATAAAACAAAGCAACAACTGGTTTTATTTGATGTCTGCTCTCTAACATTGCTTCATTTTGGGGGGCAGAGCCTAGACCATACTATTGAGCTCAAGTAATATCATGACAAAAATTGCATTTGATTTTGTTTTTAATTTTAGGGAGGTATAGTTGTTTCTAGTTCACAGTTAAGAGTTACTACAGCATGTGATTTTTTTTTTTTTTTTTTTTTTTTTGTCTGTGTAAAGGATTCATTCAAGAAAGGGAGAGAAAATGTGGGCTCCTCCTGTGGGCTTGCAACTATTTTTCTAAATCTTTGATTAACCTTTGGTCATCTATTATAGCCCTGACATTTCCTGGGCTAAAACTGCTGTGAGTAAAAACAATGTGGGTTTCTAGTAGAAGGTGGTGCTACATGAGATTTTCTGCCATTTCAAACCCTTTCTTATGTTGCCTTAGACCTTTTCAAATTCAGTTGTATTTAAAACACAGTTGTCATGCTGATTTTAGGCCAGGATAAATTAAACCCAGGAGTCTCTGTCTGGAGGTGTGCCGTTCACAGCTCTGATGTTTCTGTAACGTTCTAAGGGTTTAAAAAAGTGTCACATGTGATTTCTGTCTACTGCACATCATTAAACTGTGAAAGCTCTGGAGCTCATTGACACAGTGTTGCAGATGCCATAATTTACAAAATGAGACAAATTTATGGAATAGAAATTTAACAAGGATTATTAAGATGAAAGGGAGTTTCTGAAGAGCAGATCACCAGAACCTATGAAAAATGGGCCACTGTTTGCCCTGGGTCCTTTACTCTCCCTAGGGATCATT